CCCGACCGAAGGTGCTTTCTTGACGCGGTGGTCGGAGTTGCCTATTTTGATGACCCAATCGAGCTATATTGGCTGGGACATATGTTCCTGTAGGTTCTACCATGCCAGGAAGGTTGATTGGAGAACGGTAAGTCTAAAAGCAGCAACTCAAGGTCTAAGGGCGAAGTCGTACTGCTGACTGTAGAGGGGTGTGACAGCAGTAAGGTGTTTCTCTCGGACAACCAGCATGACAGCGATGCTGCCTTCCCACAAGGAGAGGTGGGGTTAGAAAAGGTCGACCCTGAGAATGTCACACCTCACGGATTCGGTCTCCGGTGGTAAGGCCCTTTGAAGAACGGAGCTAACACATTAAAAACCTTCCACGGAAAGGCCATACGCGACCGGCCTCAGGCAGTTGTACGTTAGACTCTGCGGTCACGTTCCCAAGTCGTTAAGACCAACACTAATCCGACTTCTTTTTCAGGTTCCTCAAGAAATACCCTTCCACGATGTGGGCAGCCGGGAAGTGATATCAGCCCTTATACCCGTAACAGTACACGAGACTAAGTTGGTCACATTCAAATCCTTCCTACACCTCCTAATACCTTTCTTATCTCCATGACCAACCCTCCTCATGTCTCTTTATCACCTCGCACCGCTAGGGCAAACGATTCGAGTACGCGGAACGTTATTCCTGGTCTCCTGAAACCACGCTCTAAACTACACGTAAGAGCTTTTAACGTCCGAACACTGTGCCAAATAGGACAGCAGACTTCCTTAGCTAAGACTTTAGAATCCCGCGCCATCGATGTGTGCTGCATCTCCGAAACGCGCATACAGGATCCGAGTAGCGTCATTCATTTAACCTCACCAAGCCAAAATAAAGAACCGACTCGCACTTCGTGTATCTAGAAGCCCAGATTCTGCTTCCCGTGGCCTCGCCGGCGTAGGTATAGCATTGAGTCCTAGGGCAGAACTAGCTCTCTTAGAGTGGATCCCAGTAGACAGTCGTTTGTGCGCTATCCTACTAAACGGAACAGTAAGGACTCAGAAAGATAAGGACACTCGTCGTTTCCTCTTTGTCGTCTCTGCCTATTCTCCCACTGACTGCAGCGCAGATGATGTAGATGAGTTTTACAGAAAGCTTTCCGACCTTCTCCGAAAAGCTAGGCGCTCGGATGTAGTAATAGTGGCTGGTAACTTTAATGCTCAAGTAGGTAAACTAAGCGATCGGGAAAGACATATAGGTGGAATTTATAGCATCGTGGCTCAAAGAACACAATGGCGACCATCTGTTGCAGCTATGCTCAGATAACCGCCTGTTTCTTGCAAGTACTAACTTTAAGCATAAAGAAAAACATCTTTTAACATGGCGACCCCCTAATTCGTCCCAACGTTGGACCCAAATAGATCACATCGCTATCAGCCACCGATGGAGGGGCTCGATAGAAGACTGTCACTCATTCTGGAGCACATGCTTAGATTCAGATCATGCTCTAGTACGAGCGCGTATCTGTCTGGGTCTTATTGGACGTAGGAAAGACGCTGCAAGTAAACCTCTTAGTGTTCTGCTTAATGATAGTCAAGCTAAGAGTATATTTCAGGAACAACTAGGAAAACAGTTAGGCAGCCATGTATGTGATGCCCACCACGAGGCAGCATGGAATGATATCCGAAAAGCTGTGGAAACAGCAGTGATATCTGCTAGTAAGGTAAACCATAAGGTTAGAGAGCAACACTGGATCTCAGCAGCATCTATCGCACTGATAGATGCTCGGAAACTCATTCCACCTGGCTCTGAACATAATGAAAAGCGGAGTCAGCTTAAGCGCAAGCTGACAAGAAGTCTACGCAATGATCGTGAACCGTGGTGGGTAGCGAAAGCAAGAGAGATGGAAAAGGCAGCGGCAATAGGTAATAGCAAACAATTGTTCAGACTTGTTAAGGAAACCGACTGTTAGCGAAACACTCTCAGAGAAAGATGGACATTTTATACATTCTCAATCCAGGAGATTGGATCAATGGGCAGAACACTTTAGGGACCAGTTCAACTGGCCTTCAGCCACACTTCGGTTTCCCACAATCTCCAGTCAACCTGAATGACAAGTTAATGTAGGCCCTCCGTCTCTTCACGAAGTTGAAAAAGCTATGGGAAATCTGAAGCGAGGGAGAGCAGCAGGCCCTGACAGGTTTGCTCCTGAGATTTAAGGATGGTGGTTCAGTATTAGCAGTGAGATTAACTGAGGTCTTAGGTAGAATTTGGGAACTGGACGTAATCTCATCTGACTGGCCTTAATCACTGATTGTGCCAGTCCATAAGAAAGGACAAATGTCCTCTTGTGACAATCACAGAAGAATCAGTTTGACAAATATAGTGTCTAAAATATTAGCTTCAATAATACTTCGACACCTAACCAAAGCTCATGAAGGACAGATTGAGAAAATCAGGCTGGTTTTTGACCTGGACGTGGTTGTATAGATCAGATATTCACACTACGTCAGGTTCTAGAACACAGACACACATTCAGACGCCCCACAATGGTAGTATTTCTTGACCTTGAGGCGGCATTCGACTCTGTTGATCGTAAGGTTCTATGGCAGTGTTTGTCACTGAAAGGAGTACCAAAGAAGTACATTAACCTTATAAAGGCTGTCTACTCGAACACAACTGGTCGAGTGAGAGCTTATGGCGAACTGTCATCAGAATTGATTACCTCAAGTAGTGTTCGTCAGGGCTGTCCACTCTCCCCATTCTTGTTCAACTTTGTCATTGACGTACTTTTAGAGATAATACTTTCCTCGTCTAGATTTCCAGGGGTTGAACTTCAACCGCGAGGTTCACTTGTTGACTTAGAATATGCAGATGACATAGTTTTATTTGGTGAGGACGCTGACAAAATGCAGAGTCTTCTGACCACTCTAAGCAACAATGCAAGCATGTTCGGGATGCGATTCTCCCCCTCGAAATGCAAGATGCTTCAGGATTGGGTTGCATTGACACCCGAACTGATGATAGGGAGCGAAGTAATTGAGTGTGTCGATCGCTTCACTTATCTTGGAAGTCTCATCAGCCCTTGTGATCTGGTGTGTGACGAAGCCTCAGCACGGATACAGAAGGCTCGACTAGCTTTTACCAACTTGCGTCATTTATGGTGTACGCGAGATATCCCTCCACCAACCAAAGTACGGGTTTACTGTGCAGCAGTTCGTTCCATTCTACTTTATGGCTGTGAAACATGGCCGGTAAGAGTAGAGGATATTCGTAGGTTACTAGTATTTGACTATAGGTGTCTTCGAAATATTGCTCGTATATCCTGGGACCATCGATTAAGTAACGCAGTTGTTAGGAAACGGGTACTAGATAAGGATGGCAAATCAATTGATGAAGTAGTGAAACTTCATCAGTTGAGATGTCTGGGACACGTGTTACGTATGTGCAACGACCGACTGCCCCGATGTGTGATGTTTTGTGGTGTAGGAGTAGGTTGGAAGAAAGCTAGGGGTGGCCAGACCAAAACATGGCACAAGTCCATGAAGTCACTGACAAGTGGATTGAGTCATGTTGGTAGGTGTAGACTACCTGGTTGGGGACCGCGAGATGACAGCAACCGATGGTTAGAGACCCTGAATGACATGGCTCAAAATCGTTTGCAATGGTGCAGGTGCATCCACTCTTTGTGTTCTCCCAAATTATAATCTTCTGAATTCTTCATGTCCCTTTCTGTTTTCTCTTTCCAAATTTATTTCACTGTATTATACTCTTTAAATAACATGTTCAAACACTAATTTTCCCGAATACTACTTATACTCTTATTACCTCTACCACTACGGGATTTGAATCGGCCACTACATCTGTGTGCTAATGTGGTGTGGCAACTCGAACTGATGTACGTACGTACGAATTTCTACGTTGTTACTGACTGACTGAGGGTCCTATGTAAAGTTGGCGAATGAGTTCTTGAGGCCATGAGATCTGACTCAATGTGATGGTTGGGATATAGGTTACGTAATCCTAACCGCCACTTACCTCGACGGGTGGTGTTTTGTATTGTAGGAGTTGAGATACTGAAGATTTGTAGCTCAAGTGGATAATTCAGTTTGTTCTACCTCAAGTTTGTGCTGAGGATATCGTTCAGAAGAACATTAAAAACTCCACGAGCAAACCATCCGGCTCAAAGAACAAAACACAAAAATTGTAGGAGTTGGTTTGGAAGGAAGCTAGGTGCACTCAAACTAGGACATGGCAGTAGGTCATATAATCATTGACTGTTATTCTGAGAAGTAGTCGTGATCAGTGGTTGTAGACTTTAACTGATGTCACTCAGAATTCTCAGTGGGCATAAATGCATTCATCCCTCATCTCATCTTAATTCTTTAACCTCAGTATCACATAGTTCTTGTTTCTCAAGTTTATTCCTTTTGGAACCACATTCTCTATTTCCGGTCATTTTTTGTTCTCAGTAATACTATGTCTAATTCCTTAGTATTTGTCTTAATAAGTTTCTTTTATTGTGTGGTGACTTGGGTCTATGCATATCTGTCCCGATTCCTTCGTATCTTTCATACACATAGTTCTCTTTATTATTTTGAAGAGAGCAAGAACAAATATTAGTGCTGCACCAAACTTTGTTCTTTCTCTCCTACGTATCTATTGACTCATTACCCAAACAGGTGCTTGTACTCATTTTTCACTGTTACTTTAAACCTATGGGACACGATTCGACTTCTTGTAAGTAACAAATTTTATTCACTTCATGCAAATAATCAGGTGTGATTGATAAGTAATAAAGAAATGGGGAATAATTATTCCGTCTTCAAGACTGACTAGTAGTGCTACTGACGTATAACTTGATTTCGATAAAAAGATGTGGTATCAGCTAATTATTTTCTATTTGTACTAATCGTATTCTGTGAATCTTATGGTTACTATATTCGTCGTACATGGTGCGACATGATATTTAAAAAAAAACTTTATCTTGTGTAAATCCATCCCTATTACTACTTGCTTTTTTCCTTGTCAGAATTTATTCGACGTAACAACTAATATAAACCGTGAAGCTGAAGATACCTATCAATTTACATCATCCAGTCCTCCTTCCTTATTAATTGAACAACTGGGTACAGCAGATGGTGATGAAGGTGAAGATGAAGTACTAAATGGTGACAGAAACTCATCTTTCGCTGCCAGGCGTAAGGCAATGTTATGCAAAGCCAGAAAACGTTTTATAGCAAGAATTAATAATTCTTAGTTAATATTTTTTTCGTTTATTTATCTTCTTCTCATTATTGCACATTATTAATTTACGTACCCGAAATATGGCTTTCGTCTTGTATTTTTCTGTATTATTATTATTATCATTACTATCACTAATAGTGCCACATCTTTATTGTAGTTATTCATTATAATTGGCTCTGATTGATTTCACATCAGTTTAGGATACCCCTTATTTTTTTTCCTTTCTTTTTCTTTGCACATAAATCATTATTAATTTAGCCCGTCGCCTTGGTGTTGTTTTTTTTCCTGCAAATATCGTTATAAGTGTGAAGATTCAAATTAGTGTTTAACCATACTTGGTGCATATATGTATGTGTAAGTGTATCCTCTTATGGCATTACTAGTAAAATAAAAGTTTAAAAAAAGCATGCATAGTTCCGACTAGTGAAAAGTATTCATTCATGCAATTTGATAAATGCATAAATTTTAAATACCCTTGAACTAAGATTGTTATTATTATTAGTGTTATTGTTAATATTGCCGTTGTTTTGGAGAATTAGGATTTTTGTCCCACTTAAAAAATTAGACCAAGGCATATACCTACACGATTTATATGTTGTATATTTAAATTTTTAATATTTCTTAATCTTAATAGTTTGTTTATTTGTTGGTTTTTGTTTTTTCGGTCACACATGTCTAGTTGCTTTAATCCCTCTAACTATGCATAAAACATTTTACGTGATGAATATCTGTTAAGCAGTAGTTATTTTCTGCATACTACTATTAAGAATTACATCCATTCTTTTCTCGATTATTTCTATTACTACTACTACTACTACTCATCACTTAACTTTCATTTATCAAATGAAAGCTAATTAATGTTAACAATTCTCTCCTTTCATGTTTACTTTCTTTATGTCTAAATTCATGAAAGAAAGGTTGTATTGTAATTTCGAACAAAAATTAAATCTTTTTCTTCTTTTTATATTTATTTATTCCATCAATATTGTGAATAACTAGATAAAATATTAAAAGTCTTTTAATGAGAAGTGGGCTTTTTTAATGATGGGATTTAAAATATTAGTAAACTAACCATTTTGATCATATATCTCTCGTGATCGGTGTTTCTTTTAACGCAATTGTTGTAAATTGAAATGGAAATAATGAACCAAGAGTTTCACTTGGAGATCTGATACATATTTAATCAACAAGTGTCGACTATGAAATACGTTTCAAGTGTATGTTAATTTCATGATTACAAATACTCTAATACATTCAATATATCTCAACTGGATTACTTTTTAACAATCTTAGTTGAAACTTCCTTGATTAAGAACCACCAATTATATTTGTGAAATCTATTCTGAGTCATTTAAGTTTTTCTAATTACCTATACGTGTTCATAATAGTTTGGTTCTTTAATGAGTAATAAACTTCGTCTTTTCTTAGCATTATCTCAGTTATACATGTTCGCTAAAAGCTTGCATTAGAACAACATATATAAGTGTAAAATATTGTTATCAGTCAGATCTTCATCAGGCTTCACTCTAATATACACTAATATATATATATATATATATATATATATATATATATATATATATATATATATATATATATATATATATATATATATATATATATATATAAGAACAATATTCAACCAATCAACGTAGTTTATGAATCAGTATTAAAAATGAATTAGATTGCATTGCTAAACATAATAAACAGAAAGTGTAAATTGACGGTGAGATAACAAGTGTACTAATAGGGATAGAAGTAGTAAAAATTTAAGCCAATGTCTTAACATAAGAATTAGATTAAAATTTGGGAAACGAAGACGTTAAAATAATAATCATTAAAAGTTATTGGGACTATGTAGTAATAAATTTTCCAATAATTACACAGTGAGGAATATAGATGAAAGACGATAAATAAGGTGACGAACGAAAGATACGGGAAATAACAGTAAAAGTGAGCAAAATCCTTTGTTAATTTAAGGGACTGGAGTGTCATATTTCTGAATGCATAGACAGGTTTAAAATTTGAATCCCTTTAGCTACTGCTATATGAAGTAGATAATATTCAGAAATGACGAAAATATATGGTAGGTCACCTGAAGTAACTCATTTTTATCTACCACAGTCAGCTAAGCATGGTATGAAGGGACTACGTATTACCTTCATCTAACTTATTCCTGCTTTTAGTTTGTTATGAGTAGTTATGCAACATACTTCACTGGGCTTATTGACTTATAATTTCTTTGATTGGTATATCTGTATAAATATTACTATATATTAGATCTAATTGAAAATAATACTGTTCGCTTATATGCATTGTTCTGATTGATTTTTAATTTATTAAAAGCATACAGTTAACATGTTAATTACTCACATGTAGTTTTACATATGTCGAAATTCAATTAATAACAGTAATTGGTTCGTTGATGTTTTAAATTTATAAAAAGATCTGGAATAATGGATATCATAATGTCTGTATATTGTTAGTCGATCATCTTGTTATAAGCAATACAGTTATTGTGACTAATTCTGGCTAAAATACTAATAAAATTAGTTGAGGTTAGACATTAACACCACTGGATGCCGGCTCAGTGGTCTAGTTGGTTAAGCGCCTGGCGCGAGACTGATAGGTCCTGAGTTCGAATCTCGCGGAGTGCGGGATCGAAGGTGCGCACTACTGAGGAGTCCCATATTAGGACGAAACGGCCGTCCAGTGCTTCCAGGTTTTCCATGGTGGTCTAGCTTCAGTTGACTCATGATTCCAATAAAAAAATAATAAAATTTTGTTTAATTATGCATCTAATTGTTTTACAAATAAAAGTGCATATTTTTTATAATATAAAAGTTTCCCAATTGTTTCTTACTTTAATTCCTTTTTTAAAGGTCATTGCCCAAATGTTATACATTAACTTTGAACGATTTACTAATAGGCTGACTATTTCTTGTTTAATCATGTGTTAATAACATTTATTTCGTTAGTGATTTAGTGAAATTGTAAAGTGCATAGTGATTGAATATTGATAGAGTGTGAATAAATTAGAAATGAACTATTTTCGTGTGTTCGTCAATAAGGTCAAAATGTATCTACGTTGAATTTTGTTTCATACTAGTACGTTATCTGAATCATCTTTTTTGATTATTTTGTTAAACCAATCAACATCAATTGTTTAGTCCCTTTTTTTAAAATTTGGTTAAAAAGATAGTTAAAAAGTGATCTTTTTTCTCGTTGATAATTATTCGCAGTCACATGGCAATGATTGTCTTTTGATATTACTGTAACTCAGTCGGATCATATAAAGTACGGGTGAGCAATAAACATATTTGTTACAGTGCTGTCAGCATGAAATTGTCATTGTATTACTCCACATTACTTACTTACTTACGCCTGTTACTCCTCGTGAAGGAGCATAGGCCGCTCACCAGCATTCTCCATCCAACCCTGTCCTGGGCAATCCTTTCTAGCTCCGTCCAGTTGTAATTCATCCTTTTCATATCTGCTTCTATTATCCGACGTAATGTGTTCTTTGGCCTTCCTCTTTTTCGCTTCCCTTCAGGATTCCAAGTTAGGGCTTGCCTCGTGATGCAGTTTGACGATTTGCGTAATGTATGTCCTATCCATTTCCATCGTCTTTTCCTAATTTCTTCTTCAGCTGGAAGGTGGTTTGTTCTCTCCCACAGAAGGCTGTTGCTGATGGTATCCGGCCAATGGATGTTGAGTATCTTGCGAAGACAGCTATTTATAAATACTTGTACTTTCTTGATTGTGGTTGTTGTAGTTCTCCAAGTTTCAGCTCCATACAGTAGAACTGCCTTGACGTTCGTATTGAAGATTCTCACTTTGATATTGGTTGAAAGTTGTTTTGAGTTCCATATGTTTTTAAATTGTAGGAATGCGACCCTTGCTTTGCCGATCCTCGCCTTTACGTCTGCATCGGATCCTCCTTGTTCATCGATGATGCTTCCCATGTATGTGAAGGACTCTACATCTTCCAGAGTTTCGCCATCAAGTGTGATTGGATTGCTGTTCTCCGCTTTGAATTTGAGGACCTTAGTTTTCCCTTTGTGTATGCTGAGGCCTACTGATGCAGAGACTGCTGCTACACTGGCTGTCTTCTTCTGCATCTGTTCGTGTATACGTGATAGGAGGGCTAGGTCATCTGCGAAGTCCAAATCGTCTAATTGATTCTGAGCTGTCCATTGTATTCCGTGTTTTCCTTCAGATGTTGAGGTCTTCATAATCCAGTCGACCACCAGAAGAAAGAGGAAGGGAGAGAGTAAACAGCCTTGTCTGACTCCGGTCCTTACTTGGAATGCATCTGTCAGCTGTCCTCCATGCACGACCTTGCACTGTAGTCCGTCGTATGAGTTCCGGATAATATTGACAATCTTCTCAGGAACTCCGTAGTGTCGAAGAAGTTTCCATAACGTCCTCCTATCCACACTGTCAAATGCCTTGTCATAATCAATGAAGTTGATGTATAGTGACGAGTTCCACTCAATTGATTTTTCGACGACGATCCGTAGTTTCGCAATTTGGTCTGTGCACGACCGATCCTCACGGAATCCAGCTTGTTGATCTCGAAGTTGGGCGTCTACTGCATCCTTCATCCGGTTCAGCAACACTCTGTTGAAGACTTTCCCTGGTATTGACAGTAGTGTAATGCCTCTGTAGTTTTCACATTTGCTCAGATCTCCTTTCTTTGGAATCTTGACGAGGTGTGCTTCTTTCCAGTCCATCGGCACTTGTTCCTCCTCCCAAATCTTTTTGAATAGAAGATAAAGCATGCTTGTGGTTGTTTCGATGTCTGATTTCAGTGCTTCAGCTGCTATGTTGTCGGGTCCTGCTGCTTTCCCGTTCTTGATTTGTCTGACGGCCATTCTAATTTCTTCCTTCGTTGGTGGATTGACATCTATAGGAAGATCTATGTGTGCTGCTTCGATGTCCACTGGATTCATTGGAGCCGGCCTATTCAGGAGTTCCTCGAAGTATTCTACCCATCTGTTACGCTGTTGT